TGTTATATATTATATCCTGAGATTAGAGTCATTCAACAATGTATTTTTATTAGAATAACCAAGAAATATTCAGAGTTGGTTCAACATTTAAAAGTCAAATGTTTAAAGTAAGTTAGCCAAGAAAATATTCTAGTGTTCTTAATCTGATCATTTTTAATTTCTGTAGAGAAACTTCGGGAGGGATGATTAACGCCGTGTCATGGTATTATCGACCTCCTAGCCCCGAGCCTATGGAGATGTACGGACTTCCATCCCGAATTCTGAGGTTATTCAAAACAAAATCAAGTTGCTTAATATTATAACTTCAATGTTTAAAGTAATTTAGCAAAGAAATTACTCTAGCGTTCTTAATCTGACCAGTTCTAATCTAGGTAGCAAAGAAACAACTTGGAGGTTATCTAAACAAGAAAACAAAATCAGACGAGTTCTAATCTAGGTAGAGAACTATTGAAAGCTCCTCCTTAATATTTAAAATCCAATTTTTTTTTTAATGTTATTTAGCAAAGATACTTCTGTAGTGTTCTGAATCTTATAAGTTTTAATATCGGTAAAGAATTATTCAGAGTTTCTTAACATTTAAAATGCAATGGTTGAAGTAATTTAGTCATGATACTACTCTAGTGTTCTTAAATCTGATCAATTTTAATCAGAGTAGAGAAAGTATTCAGAATTACTTACTATTTTAAATTCAATGTTTGAAATACTACCTACATTAGTGTTCTTAATTTGATTAATTCTAATCACAGTAGAGAAGACATTTTCAGAGTTTCTCAATATTTAAAATAATGTAACTTATTAAAAAGTTATACTATGTCAAGATCGATCAATCTTGACTTTGTTAAAAAAAAGCAAGAACATGGTATCAACTAACCAAAACAGAGCAAGGTAATGAAGCAACATACCTCGTCGTACTCGTAGTCCTGACAAGTTATTCCTTATATAAAGCCTTTCAATTCTCCTTGAATCTCCAACATTGAATCATATATCTCTCTTTTCTCCTTTCAAGAGAGAGAAAATGAACCAAACCATCATTCTCGTGGCGCTATTTCTGACTATAGTAGTGAATCTGCAGAACAGTTTCGTCGTTGCTGAGAGCAAGGTACTAAACATTTATATGAGATCTCTCTTGTAAAGGCAACATAACAATATTTAACATCGAGTAATGTTATTTTTTTTTTGTGTGTGTGTGTGCGTGCTCAAAATAGGTTTATGTAGTTTATTTGGGAGAGAAGGAGCATGATGATCCTGAGTCTGTCACTAAATCTCACCATCAGTTGCTATGGTCACTTCTTGGAAGGTATAATAATTTCAACATTTATACATATATCGAAAGATCGTAGATAGTCTTACTTACTTCATTGTCATGTTTCAGCAAAGAAGCTGCTCTTGATTCAATAGTGTATAGTTATCGACATGGCTTCTCAGGCTTCGCTGCCAAACTCACAGAGTCACAAGCCCAACAAATCTCAGGTACTTACTTTCTTCTCTGTTTCTTGACTTGAAAAAACCAAAGTAGTGATTTCTCTGAACAAATCACTGCCCTTTTGAGAACAGAACTCCCTGAGGTTGTTCATGTCATACCAAATACATTATACGAACTTACAACAACTAGAACTTGGGATTACTTGGACCAATCTCCGGGCAATCCGAAGAGTCTTCTACAAAAGGCTAACATGGGAAGGGAAGTCATCGTTGGAGTCGTCGACTCAGGTATGTGCATATGAAACATGTTTGTAGTTCTCTTAAAGACATGTTTACTAATCAAACATGGTTACAGGAGTGTGGCCGGAGTCTGAAATGTTTAATGACAAAGGCTATGGACCTATACCGAGCCGTTGGAAAGGCGGTTGTGAATCTGGTGAAAGCTTCAACGGTTCCATTCATTGCAACAGAAAGATCATAGGAGCAAAATACTTTGTTGATGGTCTTGCTGCTGAATTGGGAGAGTGGAACAGAACAGAGAACCCTGAGTACATTTCCCCGAGAGATTTCAACAGTCATGGCACACACGTTGCTTCAACCATTGGTGGTTCTTTTACGCCTAATGTAAGCTATTTAGGACTCGGAAGAGGAACTGCGAGAGGCGGTGCTCCCGGTATCCGTATAGCTATTTATAAGGCGTGTTGGCTTCGAACAGGAAGCTGTTCAGAAGCTGATGTATTGAAGGCAATGGATGAAGCTATACATGATGGTGTTGATGTATTGTCACTCTCTTTGGGATCCAAGGTTCCTTTATATCCAGAAACTGATGTAAGGGAGCTTACCTCTGTGGGAGCATTCCATGCGGTTGCAAAAGGCATTCCGGTCGTAGCTGCAGCTGGTAATGAAGGCCCGACGGCGCAGACAGTTGCAAATGTAGCTCCTTGGATTTTGACCGTAGCTGCAACCACTCTAGACCGTTCTTTTCCCACTGCGATCACACTTGGGAACAATATAACAATACTGGTAATACATTATTCATGATGAGAGTTATAAGAAAGTCTTTTTTTTTTTTGTANTNAAGATTTTGAATTTGCTAAATGTAGGGTCAAGCAATCTTCGGCGGTCCAGAACTCGGTTTTGTTGGTCTTGCTTACCCGCTTTCCCGGTAACATTGAATTACTTATATCATTGATTGTTCCATACCGCCAGAATGCGTCTTTTGACATGATAAGAGTCTTCAACTTGCAGTGACTGCGAGGAGCTTTCTTCTAGTCCAAATATTACAATTGAAGGAAAAGTTGTCTTATGTTTCACAACAAGAACAAATGCAGCTATTACCGCAGTAAGAAATGCCGGTGGTCTCGGGGTAATCATTGCAAGAAATCCAACTCACTTGCTTAGTCCATCTGTTAACTTTCCATCTGTCGCGGTAGACTTCGAGCTAGGGACAGATATTCTGTTCTATATACGTTCCACAAGGTATCCTTTACCAAACTATCAATGTCACATTAACCAATGAATTGTGAACATAATGGAGTTTTGTTTTGCCAGATCTCCCATTGTAAAGATACATGCTTCAAGAACGCTCGTTGGAAACCCCGTTGCGACAAAAGTAGCAACTTTCTCATCAAGAGGTCCCAATTCGATTTCTCCGGCGATTCTTAAGGTATATCTTGCATGTCTAACCACAGAAATGTTGCAAAATACTCTGTTTTGCAATAGTTTAATGACCGGTTTTCTGTTAATACAGCCGGATATAGCAGCACCCGGTGTGAACATACTAGCAGCTACGTCTCCCAATAGCTCGTCTAACGTCAGAGGATTTGCTTTGATGTCAGGGACATCAATGGCTACTCCTGTAGTTTCAGGAGTTGTAGTGCTCCTCAAATCATTACACCCTCATTGGTCTCCTTCTGCTATCAAATCAGCTATTGTCACCACAGGTTCTTTATCATCTTCAAATGCTTTGTTACATTGACTAAGAAAGAACTTATTGATCATGGAAACATATTTTTGACATTGCAGCTTGGAAAACTGATCCATCAGGAGAACCGATTTTCGCAGACGGATCAAATCGCAAGCTAGCTGATCCGTTTGATTACGGAGGAGGCCTTGTGAATCCAGAGAAAGCTGCAAAACCAGGTCTCGTATACGACATGGCCACACATGACTACATCTTGTACTTGTGCTCTGTTGATTACAGTGACATTTCCATTTCCCGAGTCCTCGGAAAAACAACAGTGTGTCCTAGTCCCAAACCATCAGTTCTTGATCTCAACTTGCCTTCCATCACAATCCCAAACCTGAAAGATGAAGTCACTCTCACCAGAACCCTCACTAACGTTGGACCAATCAACTCAGTATACAATGTCGTGATCGATCCTCCAACGGGCATTAATGTGATTGTTACGCCGACAACACTAGTGTTCAACTCTACAACTACAAAGTTATCTTTCACAGTTCGGGTTTCGACCACACACAAAGTAAACACTGGCTATTACTTTGGAAGCTTGTCTTGGACTGATAATCTACACAATGTGGCTATCCCAGTATCTGTGAGAACACAGATCCTGCAACGATACTACGACGAAAACTGATGTAAAGCCAAAACCATATTTGTGTACAGCTCATTACTACATTGTTGTTGAAGAATATGTAAAGATGAATAATACTTTTGTGCGTGACCAAAAAAAAAAAAAGAATACTACTTTTGTGTAACCTGTGTTGTTCATTTCATTTATCCGTAAATGGAATCCTCATTAAACACTTAACTTAGCGACTGATACTCACCGATGAGATCCATGGCGAATTTACTGCCGGTGCAGAACGTAATCAACGAGATACGTCTAAGCAGTTCCATGGATGGCTTTAGACACATTGCCCCTGAAACTGTTCGTAGGACTACAAAGGAAGATTGCATAAACATGACTAGAAAATTTTCAGAGAAATTAGGGACAAGGGCAAATAGAAACTTTACCATTATTCCTTAACAAGTGAAAAAGAGGAAGTACAAGTATACAGTATAATTAGTTTTGTTTTCAATTCTCATCGTAGTAGTTCTGCAGAATTTGTGTTCTCACAGACAAAGGAATTGTAACGTTATGCACCGAGTCACGCCAAGTCAAGCTTCCAAAGTAGTAACCTGTATTGATTTTGTGTGTGGTCGACACTTTGACTTTGAATGAGACCTTTTTGGTTGTTGAGTTGAACACTAGCGTCTCTGGCGTCACGGTAACTTGAACGCCCAACGGTGGCTCGACCGATACTTTATAGACCGACTCGAGTGGTCCAACGTTAGTGAGGGTTCTGGTGAAGGTGACTTCTTCTTTGAGATTTGAGATTGTGATGGAAGGCAAGTTGAAATCAAGAACTGACGGTGTGGGATTCGAACAGACGGTTACTTTACCGACAAGCGGAGAGATTGATGAGTCGTTGTAACCAACAGAGCACATGTATAGAACATAGTCTTCGAGGCCCAAGTCGTATACAAGACCTGGTTTTGCCGCTTTCTCTGGATTCACAAGGCCTCCACCATAGTCGAACGGATCAGCTAGCTTCCGGGGTGACCCTTCTGCAAAAATCTGCTCTCCAAATGGATCTGTTCTCCAAGCTACAGAGTAAAAACAATTATCGAGATCAGTATAAACTAGTGTTGGTTGTTTTGTCTTTACTTTTTCTAACATATGGTGAAGAAGATGAGAACCTGTAGTGACAATGGCTGATCTAATGGCAGCAGGAGACCAATCACGGTGCAGAGCTTTGAGAAGAGCAACAACTCCTGAAATGGCAGGAGCCGCCATTGATGTTCCTGACAGCATAATGAATCCTCGGTCGTTGAAAGTGGTATTGGTGGTTGTAGCCGCCAATATGCTCACTCCTGGTGCTGCTATATCTGGCTGCATTCATATGATTGATAACAACATCTGAGGCAAGATAATTTTATTGGTCTGAAAAGAGAAATATGTAAGGATCCTGACATACTTTCAGGATCGCAGCTGCAATCGAATTAGGTCCCCTTGATGAGAAAGTTGCCACCTTTGTACCAACTGGTTGTCCGATGAGTGTTCTAGAAGGTTGTATTTTCACAACAGGCGCTCTGAAAAGTGAAAACCACAAGTCCGGTGAAACATAGTCTCAGATACTAAGAAATGTTGTTTATTTTCTTATAGATTTGAAGTGATGATAATATATTTTCATACCCACTGGAACGTATGTACATAAGTATATCGGTCCCAAGCTCGTAGTCAATAGAAACACAAGGGAAATCATCTAGACATGGCCGGAGTGCGTAGCCTGGGTGTTTCGCAATGATTACGCCAAGACCACCTGCTCTCTTCACATAACGTGCAGCCCTCGACACAGAACCACTGTAAGGTGATGTAGTGAAACATAACACGACTTTCCCGGCCATTGTACTGTTAGAATTGAGGGAAAGAAACTCACAGGTACTGCATTATAAGAACCAGGGTGATGTCAGAGAATTGATCTTCTTCATATGGAAAGATTTGGTAGTCAATAACTGAATATAGATTCTACTACGATACTAGAAACATAACATTACCCAGAAAAACTTTCGTTGCTATTCCCTGGATTCTCAGGGTAAACCAAGCTAGAGAAGCCAAGTTCTGGACCTGTGTACAATGCTTGACCCTGCAATATTGTAGCCAAACTCACAATAAGACATAGTTCATCAAACATTTGCAAAGCGAAAGGTATGAACAATTAATATATGGTGTTCTGGTCGTTACCAATATCGCTTTATTGTTCCCAAGTGTAACAGGCGTGGCAAAGGACCGATCTAGAGTAGTTGCAGCAACTGTCACGATCCATGGAGCTGTGTTTGTAACGGTCTGAGCTTCTGGGCCAGAGTTACCACCTGAACAAACAACTGTGATACCCTTTAAGACTGCATGAAATGCCCCAGTAGCTATTCCAGCGCGAACATCAGTTTCTGGGTACATAGGGACTCTAGATCCTAGAGAGACAGACAGAACATCAACACCATCATGCATAGCTTCGTCCATTGCTTTCAAGATGTCAGCGGAAGCACAAGTCGTTAAGTCTTCATCATCCAGATACCAACAAGCCTTGTACATTGCTATACGGGCATGTGGTGCCCCACCTCTCACAGTCCCTCCGGCTAACCCCTTGTAGCTTATGTTGGGCACGTACGAACCGCCCGCAATGGTGGCAACATGCGTGCCATGACCATCAAAGTCTCTAGGGGAAATGAAGTCAAGTGATTCTGTGGAGTTGAAGCTTTCGTACTCTGCGAGAAAAGCATCGATGAAATACTTTGCTCCGATGAGCTTTTTATTGCAGTGAGAAGAATTGAATCTCTCTCCTGATTCACAGCCTCCTTTCCAGTGGCTAGGCACAGGCCCAATCCCATTGTCGTTAAATACTTCAGATTCAGGCCATACTCCTACAACCACAGAAAACATTTTAGTCCTAGAGACGCTAACGCGAGACACACAAAAAGTGCAATGATCAGAGTAGAAATGTCTCAGTATATACTCATACCTGTATCAATAATGCCGATGATCATTTGTTCACCCATATTAGTTTCATTTAGAAGATTCTTTGGATTGGCGGCAGAAAGGCCTAAGTAGTCCCAAGTCCGAGTTGTTGCCAGCTTGTAGAAACTATTCGGTATGACATGAACAACTTCAGGTAAATCTGTTACGAAAGAGCATTAGCAACGGAAAAAAAAAAAACCATTGGTAAATCTTTTTTTCTGAGAAGCCAAAAAAAGATGAGAATGAGAACGAGTACCCGCTAATTTTTTGGCTTGGGACTTGGTAAGCTTGGCCGCGAAACCTGAGAAGCCATGTCGGTAACTGTACACCATTGAATCATGGGCATCCTCTTTACTGTAAAGATGGAACAATGAAAAGAAATCTGAGTAACAGTTTGAGATATGAATATACTTGAGAAAGAGAAACTACCAATACATACCTTCCAAGAAGAGACCACAACATCTGATGATGATATTCTGTGACAAACTCTGGATCATCATGCTGCGTCTCACCCAAATAAACAATATGAACCTATTGAATATCACAGCAGAAACAATTTTGTTAGTCAATTCAGTTGGTCTCTGTTTATGTTGTCTGATACAAGAATGACCTTATTATATATGTAACTGTTGAGTACCTTGCTCTCGGCGCTAGCTCGTGCCGCGAAAGTGCTCTGCCCATTGAGAATTATTACCAGACTTAGTACCACAAGAATTGAGGTTCTGTAACTTTTCATTCCGAGCAGAAAAGGGGTTTCCATTTTACAATCTCAAAGCCACAA